ACAATTCACTCCACCCATCAATGCGTGACAATGAGAAGAGACATTGCATTTGCTTTTTATAACTTCTCGTTTGTCTGAATAGGAATTGGTTTTCGTTTAGTTTCAGTAAAATTCGTTTCGCGAGAGAGATGTTTGTCGGGTATTAGGAATAAAACAAACGTTTATTACATTTCATTAGATTTTGAGTCTCATTGGTAGACGAAACCATCGCAAAGAGTGAGTCCATCACGAGAATAGAGCACAAGAGGAGGCAAAACTTTGATGCCATATAACACTAATAGTAACACAAAACTCCACACAAACACTAACATTAGTTATTGTAGTTTTGTTTGGTCTTAAATATTATTGTTATTATCGATTTTAAATCGACAATCAAAGTGAAAAGCATACAATTTTATACCTTACTTTTGACATACACTTGAATTCAAGCGTTACTGCACTTAATTTATATGAAAGCTCTAACCCTGTCATCCAATACCAGAGATAGAGTGGAGTAAAGTATACTGTATTTGAGAAAATATAAACTTATATTACGATATATTTTTTGGTGACTTTTTAAAGAAAAGTATTGATTTCTCTCTCAACTAATCATTAAAATTATTTTTTCACTCCAAAAAAGTTGTCAAAATTTAAGTACAAATTGATTACATTATGTGAATACAAGTCGCGAATTCTACTAACAAATGATAACAAGAATATAAAGTCATTTAAATGAATAAACGGCAAAAGTGTTAACACTGTTAAGCACTTGCTTTCTCTATGAATTTAAGTCAAAGAAAAAATATGTGAAAAATATACCCAAAAAAAGATGAGGTAAAGAGTAGATGACTATACAGTTAAGGAATTTAATATAAGAGGCTTTGAACGAAATTTCTTTATTTTCATATATTCTTATTATGAGTGTCTTCACAACCATTATCTCTAAAGTCTATAGAAGATAATGAGTTTGAAATAACAGTATTCATAGCAAAACAGCGCAAATGGTTTTTGAAACAAAAAACTGTTTATACTTTGCGAACAAAGTTATTGAAAATAATAGGAGTTTATTATTTGGTTATAAATTGAAGTAATTTCATTGAAAATGTCTCCTGATATTCAGACCTTTGGTCAGAAATAGCCATTTTATACATAAAAACAATTGGTTTAAACAAGTTTTTAAATTTATCTCGCAAATAGTCTTTTCTTTCAATTTGATTAAAACAATATCTCATCATATCCTTAGTGTTCAAAAGCCTATTTGAGGACAAAACATGATTTGCGATTTAAATTTTATTTGCCTTTTTTATGAGCACTACTTTCCTCCAAACACACGCTTTTCATATAATCTATCCTTTTTTCTCAAGACTTAAAGTCATAGAGAAAGCAAATGCTTAACAGTGTTAACACTTTTGCCGTTTATTCATAACTCATGCAAATAATGGCAAACATTATTCAAATCCTTCTGTTTTATAATTATATATAGAGAGAGAGAGAGAGAGAGAGAGAGAGAGAGAGAGAGAGAGAAGTGATGGCAATATAATTGATTCTAAGTCTTCAATACTTTGTATTATTTTGTCTCAATTTTTCTCTCTTCTGTTCAATGCATTGAATTTTGAGAGCAAAGTGTGTCTCAAATGCTTATTAACACAAAGAACTCGAACTTTCAATTGATAGAAAACTTTTAACTCCATTGCCATACAATCCAATCCAATGGATTGAACGGTATTATAGCTGAAGTGTATTCACAGAAGAGATGTCGAAACAAACAAAAGGTGAGTGAATGCCAGTGAATAAGCCAACGAAACACAAAGAAGTCGTCTATTTTGTCAACTGATCCCCCAATTTCTCGCCAATCGTTTTCATCCATAACTATATTTTATTCTGTGATTTCGTGTGACAAACAATACATTTAAGTTATGGTCTCCAGAAATAAGCCATAAGTTGTTTCTGTGATATATTCGCTTGTAATGCATGAGTAGAAGAGGAAATCTTGGGATATATTACAGGCAATGGTTGTGAATATTTTATTACATAAATATTATTTATATTTTTATCGACAAAAAATAAATGGAAAAATACTAAAACAAAACAAATCGATAGCTATAATATAGCGGCGAGTATTAAATGGCATCAAATTATTGGTTACTTAACTCAGGGCGCCGACAGAATGCCTGTGCTATCGAACCGTTGGCACAGTTTTTGCATTAAAGCCGCTTCTGATGAGCCGATCACTTCTCTGCCATTAGAGGGGATGTTATATGACTTGAATGCCATTAATCAAAATGATATTAATTCTCATTTCCTTTGAGGGAATAACTTATCCATAAGACTATCGCCAATAGACAGACCAATAGTTTAGCACAAACCCCATAATTATATCATACTTGAGACCATACATGTCTAAATGTCTGCTTCATATTCATTTCAATGCATGTTTTGTCAATTTTTTAAATTTTATGCATGATAATTTTAAGGAGAAAACCGCAACTTAATTAAAATATCCACTCATTAGTGATTATATAAGTTAATATCGTTTAAAAAATATTTCTAAAAAATGAAAACATATTTGTGCATCAATTCATTTATTCATTCATTTTGTCATTGAGGCAAATGAGCGCTAATGAGCTCTCTATTAGACTTCAATCAATTATTAACATTATTTTGTAACCAACTAATGTATTATAATTTACCGCTTAATCGCGGATTAAGTAATAAAGGCACGGCTTTACTGCTGAATAATTCATTGAGTTTTTTGTTCGCATACATATTTATATAATAATATCAATTATGTAATATAATAGTTAAAATAACAAAACAAAATTAATAATCTATAGTATATTTTGATTCTATAAGTACGTGTTTACTGGCATCAGTTATGCCAAACTAATAGACAAAGTATAAACAATGAGTGCTTCTCACTTTGAAAACAGTGTTTCCTATGACGAGATTGAAAGTAATGATAAGACATCATATCGTTATATAAGGTTATAGTAATAGAGATTTGTAACGAATCCATTGAATGCAATGAATGCCATCAATGAGTTATCTGTTCTCCCAGTAGAGTCTGACAACAATTTAAGACCAATAATAGCTGTCAAACACTAATCCAGACAAAGAAGTCAAAAATTATACAAATAATGCACTTAAAGCTCTACTCAACCAAACACTCAATAGGTATTTGCTTGAGGTTTGAACATAATATTCTAAATGTTTTCACATTTATACTATAAGTATTTATTCATATAAAAAACAACAGATATTTGTAAAATTAAGTGCCACAGTATAAATAGATTAAATCACAGAACTTTAGTGTAAATTGATTTTTAGAAACAATGAATATTTCATTATTCTGTCACTTAATAATGATTTTTATGAAAAATTAGAGTTTCTCTTATAATAATGCACTTAAAGCTCTACTCAACCAAACACTCAATAGGTATTTGCTTGAGGTTTGAACATAATATTCTAAATGTTTTCACATTTATACTATAAGTATTTATTCATATAAAAAACAACAGATATTTCTCTCGCGAAACGAATTTTACTGAAACTAAACGAAAACCAATTCCTATTCAGACAAACGAGAAGTTATAAAAAGCAAATGCAATGTCTCTTCTCATTGTCACGCATTGATGGGTGGAGTGAATTGTGTTTCAAAACTCATTACATTTACGGTGTTTAACACGACTTTCACTTTACAATCGGCCATCAGTTTTGGTCAAAACGGTATTCATATTAAACACCATTCGTAGAAATGATCACACTTTGCGAGAAAACACACCTATCTGTGCAAAGGCTTTAAATTGTAGTCAAAGACTTAATTGAATTGAATAAATAAAGTTTAGAGGGTTTAGTTGCGAACACAAATTGGTGGCAATGTTTTTATACAGTATACTTAACAAATTGCTTGAATTTCATTGATTAAGAGCCCAATCGTAGCTCACATTTACTAAAACCGATTCATTTTTGGTGCTTTAATTCCAGGCATCAGTTAATACGCTAACGAATACTACTAACGATCCGAATATAAATTAACCAAAAGAGCAAATGCAGTGAAAGTATTGACTCGAAAGTCGACTAATAATGCTATGATTTTATGTCCGCTACTAAACACCAAACACTAAACACTTTATGCCTATTAAATAGCAGCTGTTCCTCTAAATGATTTGATGTAGAATTTGTTTCTCGTGTGTATCCATCAGATCAATAGCATGTGATGGCCAGCGAATTGCATCTCTCAGAGAGTATCCCTTTTGGGCAAAACTCACGGTTCGCTAAAGGAGTCAGTTTCCAAACACTGACCGATATATCGGATGAATGCTGTCTCCAGAATAGAGTCAATATTATCCAACGAAACCCAATGGTCATCAACACCGGCACCTCAACTGTAATCAGCAAATCCTCGTCCAGTGATAGTGATACCAATGATAGCCACACTCGACTTCTGGAGGACTCTCTTCAGGACTTCCGGAGTGTGCAATACTTACTGCTGACACCGACAGCAACCCATACGACCACATGTCTTAGTGAAGATCCGTCCAATACTTCAGATGCTTTGTGGACACAAATGCAAAATTCATTGTCAAAAGAAATCAGAACCAGATATTTGACAAAAAGACGTTTCGGATCAGGCATTAGACGTGACTATACTTTGGTTGGATTGCAGTGCTATTCCTCTGCCTTCAAGACTGTGTTTAGTGTCACGTTATGTGTGCTCTTGTGCTGTATTATCCTTTTAATGACAGTATTATATGTTTGGCATAACAACCACTTTAGTGCTCACAATACTGTCCCACACATACCCGACCAGAACTGGTGGCGCGGATCCACTTTCTACGAGATATTTGTTCCTTCTTTTAAAGACTCCGATGGCGACGGTTTCGGTGATCTCAATGGTTTACGAGATAAGATCTCTTATCTGCAAGAATTGGGAATCAATGCCATAAGACTTAACTCTATATTTTCTGCATTGGATTATCCGCACAGATATGACAATATTCTGGACTTTTTCAGTGTTGACCCACACTTAGGGAAAATGAGCCATTTTATTGAATTGGTTTGAATTACATTTTTACTATCAATACATTAATTGATTAATAAATAGTACATAAATATCTCATCACATAATAGTGGAACTGTTTAAGTGATGTTTTATTGTCCTTCAATTGACACGAATTTGTTTGTTTTTAGGTTAAAGTGTTACACGAATTAAAAATGTATATAATTCTGGATATAAACCTTGTGACCACATCAGACCAACATCCATGGGCTGCACACTGGCTGCTCAATAGGTCGACAGAGTATCAATATTTTTATGTTAACGTCAGCGAAGATCAGATTAATGTAAGTTTATTACGATATTTGAGTTTATTTTATACCATTATATGTGTTATTCCCTCTCAACTCAATGATTACGAAAGACATTAAATATTATACAAAAAAGAAAGTATTATTCTGTTTGATATTCGCATATATGATGCGGTGATGAGTTGTGGAGTTGAGAGGTTGAGGGCACAGATATTTCACTTATTGTCCACCAATTGCTTTGTGTTGTACGAGAAGAAAGTGATTGAGAATATAAGTGAATACTATTGTGGAGACAAAAGTGAGGCCATAAAAGGTCTCTCAATAAGAGTATTATATGAATAGAAGCGATGCATCACTGAATCAAAGGAAACGTTTCAATAGTTGTAGTATTGATATAAGTCTTCCACATATTCTGTGTATAACTGATTCTGTGCTCTTATAGGACGAGGACTGGACGTCTAGCAGTGCGACAGATAGACTCCAAACAGATTTTCTACACAAAAATGTGAGACCAGACCATCTAATCAATCAGTTATTAATCAGATTTATGTTAACCGTATTTGTCTTGATTTAAAGACACACTTTGGAGGACGCCTTCATCTCAATTGGTCTCATCCCGGAGTCCGACACCAAATGTATGAAGTTTTCGACTTTTGGCTCCAATATATCGATGGCTTTTACTTAAAACATTTGGAGCAGATGTACGTGGAGTCTGAAACCACGGTCTATGATATATTGCGTGAACTCAGAAACAGAGCCAACAAAGCAGTGATGAGTGACCCGGGAGTAGGTGTCGGCGCTCACAAAATACTCATCTGTTCGACAAGTTTTGTGCAAAAGAGGCATAAATTGGTGTTGAATTATATTAGTGAGGCCATAAAAGGTCTCTCAATAAGAGTATTATATGAATAGAAGCGATGCATCACTGAATCAAAGGAAACGTTTCAATAGTTGTAGTATTGATATAAGTCTTCCACATATTCTGTGTATAACTTATTCTGTGCTCTTATAGGACGAGGACTGGACGTCTAGCAGTGCGACAGATAGACTCCAAACAGATTTTCTACACAAAAATGTGAGACCAGACCATCCAATCAATCAGTTATTAATCAGATTTATGTGAACCGTATTTGTCTTGATTTAAAGACACACTTTGGAGGACGCCTTCATCTCAATTGGTCTCATCCCGGAGTCCGACACCAAATGTATGAAGTTTTCGACTTTTGGCTTCAATATATCGATGGCTTTTACTTAAAACATTTGGAGCAGATGTACGTGGAGTCTGAAACCACGGTCTATGATATATTAAGTGAACTCAGAAACAGAGCCAACAAAGCAGTGATGAGTGACCCGGGAGTAGGTGTCGGCGCTCACAAAATACTCATCTGTTCGACAAGTTTTGTGCAAAAGAGGCATAAATTGGTGTTGAATTATATGAGAGATCCATTAGCGCCTAATGACCTCCGATTGAGCACAACCGCCACCAATGGCTCCAAACTTATTGACATAAACTCTTACTTCGATTTAATTGATTTTCAACTCAACATCGATATCAATAAGACTGAAACAATCAGAGATCAAGTGAACGCCATATTTCTTAATTCCCCGAACACGCCATGGATTCACTGGAGTGTTGGCGATGTCGAGAGGTATCATCGCTTACGAGCTATACTTAACTTATGTTTCTGTGTTTGCTTTGATTTATATTATGCAAACATTACATAAACTTTTCAATTGAATGTTAAGAAATCTAAACTTCTGTATATTTTATGCAAATATTGCTAAAAAAGGTCGCGTTTGGCGACACGGATTGGCAGTCAGTACACGATGACGGTGTCATTCCTGTTAATAATGTTACCAGGAACAATCAGCTGGTTCTACGGCGATGAGATTGCACTCCACGACACTTACGATCCGCTCTCACAAAAGGTAATCTAATCAGCAAATAATCTGAGACTCGGTTAATGAATATGAGATATAAAAAGCGCGTCTAATGACTAGCTTTTGGGCTCGCATTTTGGTTTCATATTTATTAATACCGACAATAAGTGAGTCGTGAATGAGAAAGATTTTGGTTTATTATTTCGCATCACTTTATTATTAGTGTATTATATTATTTGCTGACTTAACCAACAAATTCTCTTATTTTGCTAACAATAATACAGAACTGTTTCGGAAAAGGGAATGAATTAAATGAAAACAAAATGCTTTCTCGAGTGTAAAGATTTGCTTTGGGAGAGAGAGAGAGAGAGAGAGAGAGAGAGAGCAAATCTTTTGATAAATAATAAAATGCAATTCTTTTTGTGACACAAATGAAATCTAAACTTAAAAATCAATGAAATGTCTTGATTCACATGATTAGTGTTCACATCTAAGACATTGGCTTCAAATCTATTCAATTCTTTCAATTATTGTGTTATACTTTTCGACAATATATTCAGTTGACAGAGAAACCAATGAATTTACTTTTAAACATAATATATTTATATTCATCGCAATGCGAGTCAAAATTTTTTATCAGATTTAATTACAATGTATAAAATGTTTGTAAAATAAATGCAATGTAATTAAATTTTAAAATCAAATCAATTTAAGGCGTGAATCTGTAAAGTACGAGAAAATCGATATCAATGTCATTGTCATTGTTTAGAGACCTATCATTTGACAGTAAAGTTATTTTGTGTCAGAGAGTGACTAAAAGTCTTAAAATTGTGACAAAATAATACAAATCTTTAAGAGCTGACAACTGAGGGCTAACAAGTAAGTAGTAAAATATAACTGCGAGGCAATGGACATAATCTCATCCATGATTTATTTAGTACAGTATATTGAGATTTAGTTTATGAGATATAATGCACTTTTCATAAGTCATACGTCCGTTCGCTTATCATTTCGATTCTGACACTGCATTCAAACAATACTTGAATTGATTTTTCTATATATCTATGGAATATCTAATGGAAACCAGAAATTTTTTATTTATTCAAAAAAGTGGTAAAACATAAGACAGCTATTGATGTCTTGTGAGTGGTTTTCATTAAAGAGAATGGTTAGCGTCTGTCCGGTCAGGCAGTCTTGTGTCTCACTTACAGCACACAATCGACTGCAAAGTGTTGTCTCTATATATACCGTATAAATATTGATCGCAAATCACTTCTATTACATCTGGCAAATCAAATCCAGTCAAACTCTACACTAAAACATCTTTTAATTTAATTATTCACAAACTTGTGTCAACACATAAAATACAAAAACATGGGCTCACAGAATATTCTTTGCTATTATGTACACAGAACTTAAGGTTTTGTAAATTCTGTGTAAATTGAAATAATTACCTAAAGTTAAATTCTCAGTGCAAATATATTTAACGTATTTATTGTTATCAATGCCCCGAAGAGTTGAAAATCTTTTTTTTCAAAAAAAATAATAATTTAGTAACGTTATTAAAACAAACTTATATTATTATGCATAATATACATAATAATATAAAAATTCTTTTGTTTTTATTAATTTATTACATTTATACATAACTTATTGCAAACATGTTTCTAATATTTGCACTAGACTATTGACATTGCTGAAATATATTATTTAGTTAAACAAACTTTACGTCGATTTAATTAATGAGAATTAAAGCAACAAATAAAGTATCAAATGAGAGGCAAAACTAAGTTAGACTTTAATTAATGTCTATCCGTGTATTAATTGCATGAATGACTAGAAATTTGCGGAACAAGTATTGAATAATTTATTTGAAGATCTTCTCGCAGTTTAATGAGTGAATTAATGGTATGTTTGCTGTTGTTTTGTTGGACAGGAATACAGGGGCGGCCAACTCTGTCCCATGCAATGGATGTCTAATTTAAATGCAAATTTCAGTCAATCCAATACAACAAAGCCGTGGCTTCCCATTCATCCCAATTACATAGAAATCAATGTTTTGAAGCAAAACGAGTCAATCAAGCGGTTCAACGAATTGATGGCTTTCAGAGCCGATCACTTCGAAGTGGAAGACATGGGAAAACACGGCAACTATTTGTTTCATTACATCGACGACAATCAGATCGTATTCGAGCGCTACTTCGACAGAGGAGATCCGCCAGACATCAGATTCAGATACGTCTTATTCGCTAACTTCGGCCCAAAACCAAAAGTCAGGGACTTTTCAGATAAGTTTCATTTGTCTCGCATTAAGATATCGAGTTATAAGAAGAGGGAAAAGGAGTTCCTTTACATGAGATCTCTGAGACTCGACGCCGGAGAGGCACTCATCGTCGAAGTCGACTGATTCAGCCGTTCAGACATCTAATTGAGACAAATGGTCACTACTTATGACAAAAATATGATTATTCAATACAAATGAAACACTACTGAAACTGAATGCCGTCCATAACTATACTGTATTACTCCATACGACTATGAGTTTAGTGTACAATACATTCAATCCGCAGAAAATGTATAATTATTTTCTGGACTCCAAATCATAATTAATATGTTTTTGCGATTCATTTGTAACATAAATATCATATCATTTGATAAGAGTAACCATCACTCGAATCGAGTTATTTTGACTGTAAGATCATTATTTAAATTATATATAAAATTTAGCAAATAATTCAATGTTATTCTCATTATAAATAAAACAATTAAAAAAGTTTAAATAAAAATGAATTTATTTATAAGTTTTAATAATTTTCGAAACGATTGACGATTTGGTGTGAATTGAATGAACAATTGATTGGAAATTAAGCGAAATTATGATAAGCGTTGCGTTAGTATTAGTAAAATCGAAATAAAAGTTTCTTTCAGTAAAATTAAAATCGATGGCGATATTCATCTCATGTCTTAAATTATCACTTATAATCAGAAGGGGTTGCGTTGGGCGCCGGGGTGTTAGTGGTGGTAGTGGTCGGAGTGATGGCATTCGAGCTGTTGTTCTCATCGTAATTGCCGTTCACCACGAAAGCGGTGCCCAAACCATACAAATGGCCGCAATATTTCGCGTCATCGATGTTGTCCTCGAAGAACATTTCCCTCATCTTGAAGAAGGCGACGCCTGTCAGCAGACTATCACTGCCCGCCTGATGCTGCGGACCCTTGCGCTCCAGTTCCAACTGATCCGCCACCTGTTGTCACGACAACCACCAGAGTTAGTGATTCATACAAATATAGGATAATAGATAATAGGAGTGATAATCACCTCTTGAAGGCCTCCCTTAAGGTTTTTACAGCTTTTCATGAGATACTTGACATCATAGATGACGGGGAAATAGATCCGCAATAACTCGAAGAACTGTGACTCTTGTGACGGGAGGTTCTGATCCGTGAGAATCTTCAACAGATACCCAAAGTCGTAGCCGCTATGGAAGGACAGCCACCGGACGTTATCGCACAGAATGATACCGGAGCTCATGAGTAGCTCAGCGAAGTCGTAGGGATCGATGCCCTCCTCCTCGTGCTTCTTGAACTGAATGCCAGAGTTGGTCAACAGGTCGATGGAGTCCTGAGCGAACATGTCTTCGGACAGATTGAACTTGAAGTTGAACTGCCAGGTGCTGTAGGGGCCGGTGGGGGTGTCGCCCTTCGCGTCCAAGAAGGTCAGTCCCAATTGGATGATCTTCAGGAGGTCCACATTGCAGCGCAACAGTTGGTACTGATAGTCAGAATTGCTGCGGAACTCGCCTATAGGACGGGCCACTACTCCCGGGAACTCCGTGTCCATCGCCACGAACGGGTACTTCAGCACGATTTTGCGGATCTCCTTGAACTCCATGAGCAGATTGTGTGCCCACACCTCCCGTATGCCACAGTCATCGTTGGACATCATATGGTTGGGCGAACTATTCTGACCATTGGTCTGATGGTTGTGGTTGTGGTGACCATTGGTTTGTTGGCCTAATGTCGGCGCAGAAGGCATTACCACTCGTTGTCTTCACGACTCTTGCCTCACATTCACTGCAAACGAGAGACCATATGAATGGTTAAGACAATGAAAACAATGCTATAAATGAGTGACTGTTTGCAGACTTTCGCATAAATACTACACATTTGGGCGACAATTGAGTGAATCGTATTGCATCAAGTCATAACACAAACAATGCTTTGTTTTCTAACCTTTCAATGAATGATACGTTTTGTGGAAAATAGTTTAACACAACAAAAGGGATGGCATTCAGGCATTCATTCACACAGTTATTGCGACAACAAATGAATCAAACGTTTTGTTATTAATTGCAATGATATTTACAAATGTTTTTCAATGCTTTTCATTACGAAAACATTTCAAAGATTATTCATCACTCCATGCATTCAATCAAATGTCTATCACTTGCTGAACTAATAGACACGACGTATACGACGTCCATATATGGGGGGTGAGGGGGCTGTCAAACACGCCACAAAAACACTGGATTCAGTCGCGTATTAATTGTTATAATCTGTTTAAAATAGTTCCTTATCTATTTACCAGGGTAATCTGTGCATAACTTTCACATTACTCAATCAATACATGAGTTAAGTGAACACTTAACCAAATTACTAGTAAGACATCATTTATAGACGTTTAAATATACTGTTTATATAGAGTGGCGAAATTAAAACTAAGTTTAGTTTATTAATTTGAGATTAAACTGTAAAACTATAGCCAATTAAATTGCGCTCATATTGAGTGACAATTATGTGAATATATATTAAATGATAAAACATATTGAGATGAGAAAGAGTTGTAGTGATTGACTGAGTGTTGAATAGCATTGAAAAGCAGTTCTCTATAAGCATTGAGTGAAAGTGAAAACAAACACAACTGTAATATTGAGTGCAATGATGACAATCAGACCACTCATACGACACCAATGAATGCCATTTGAAATGAGTTTTGGTTTTGTTTTGTTAATTCATTGCATTATTTAGTTATTCATTATATTTTCATTTCAATCACTGAACACAACACATTCACCCCTTCATTGTCTGTCATATGTTTGCCATTCACTGCAACACCACTTATTTGAATCAATCAACAAATCAACCATTTTTTGTGGTTTGAGTCCAATTGGCGGCCAAGAGTTGTCTGCCATTCAGCCGAGTGTTTGTCATTTGATTTCATATTTAATATATAAATAATTGTCAAACAATTAAGTGATGTCACGACAGGCCGTTATTGTCAACGTATATGATATGGTAATCACAGACATTGATTACATGAATGGATTGACATATGATAAGAATTAACATATGATTTGTGATTAAAGGCTTCAATAAACCAATACTCGTCTTCACTGGGGATTGGGATCTACCACTCAGGGGTCCAGATCTATGAGACAGGTATTGTCTCCCATTCACTCACTCTTACTATTGAGACTAATTGGTGTGATTGTGGCAGAGTTTGGATACGGAGGTCACCCGTTCAGTCTGTCGGGAGTCTTCGAGATTGAGCCCAAAGACGTGGAATCGCTGGGAGAAGACAACTTCAAGTTCAAGTAATAGTCCTCTCATTTGTTGGCCTTTCAATAGGTTTTCACTATTTGTGTCCATTCATGACAAACAGAGAGTCAGTACTCATCGGTTACACAGACTTCAGCCGAGAAGATATCAACGAAATAATCGAAGAANTTTGAAATTGATTACAATTACGATATAAACCTGTTGTGGACGTCAAAGGTTTGAAATAAAATATAAAATAAATGAATAATTATTGAAAATAAAAATATTGTACAGGATTTCGAGTGTCCATTGGATAAGGAATCCCAAAGTCTAAACTACTATTCCATTGAAAACGGGGACACAATTGTAGTTAAACTTGAATAAAATCTCGTCAATTAATTCTTAAATAATAATTTATATACAGATTAATACCAATAGTTTGTATGTGAAAAATAAAAATATCCTTTTGTATTTTATACTCAAATTAAAAATAATAGTTTTAAAACTGCATATTCGTTAATAAATTATCCACAAAACCAAATGTGATCTAATCTATAGCTTTGGCACTGCCTATAGTTTATGCATACATTTTGACACTTTGTGAGCATTTAATGAAAATGTATTTTGCTTTGAATGCCTATCGGTTTACCCGGAAATCAATTAAAATTCTGTACTTCATAGCACTTTAGTTAAAATTTGAAACTTATGTCTAATGTATAGTAAGGCAGCAAAAGTAATGTATAGAAAGATAATAAAAATACTAAAAGTACTACTCGTTTGTCAATTGGACTCAAATTTAACTCTAAATTGTAGTTAAAGTTTGTTTTTTATCACTTCTTGATCGGCGCTCTCGTTGGCGACCTGTTCTCTGATGGACTCTTCCAGAGCTACAGGTATTAGAAGTTCTTTGGGAAGACATCGTTCGAGGAATGGCACACAAGTGCTTATATATGCCAATCGGTTGATCCACGACGGGATCGATTTGCCGCATAAATACTAAAACACATAATATATACAAACAGTCGTTAACTCTATCACCAATCAAAGCCAGTGTCCATTGAATACCTTAACCAATGCTTCGGTGAAATGATTGCAATTTCTGTGCAGAAGATGGTATTTGTCTCCTTTGTATTCTTTACCCATTTCTTCGATTATTTCGTTGATATCTTCTCGGCTGAAGTCTGTGTAACCGATGAGTACTGACTCTCTGTTTGTCATGAATGGACACAAATAGTGAAAACCTATTGAAAGGCCAACAAATGAGAGGACTATTACTTGAACTTGAAGTTGTCTTCTGGGTCGCTAAGGTGCAGAAACCCGAGTTAGAGCTTCTGAGGGCTGTCTGACTTGCCCACTGGAGGCATAGGTTTGAGACGGTGTTAGTGTGGTTAATCAGAGTTATCATTCTCACTCACTTACCCTCGCAATACCTGTCTCATAGACCTGGACCCCTGAGTGGTAGATCCCAATCCCCAGTGAAGACGAGTATTGGTTTATTGAAGCCTTTAATCACAAATCATATGTTAATTGTTATCATATGTCAAAGCATTCATGTAATCAATGTCTGCTGATTACCATATCATATACGTTCACAATAACGGCCTGTCGTGACATCACTTAATTGTTTGACAATTATTTATATTAAATATGAAATCAAATGACAAACACTCGGCTGAATGGCAGACAACTCTTGGCCGCCAATTGGACTCAAACCACAAAAAATGGTTGATTTGTTGATTGATTCAAATAAGTTGTGTTGCAGTGAATGGCAAACATATGACAGACAATGAAAGGGTGAATGTGTTGTGTTCAGTGATAGAAATGAAAATATAATGAATAACTAAATAATGCAATGAATTAACAAAACAAAACCAAAACTCATTTCAAATGGCATTCATTGGTGTCGTATGAGTGGTCTGATTGTCATCATTGCACTCAATATTACAGTTGTGTTTGTTTTGACTTTCACTCAACGCTTATAGAGAACTGCCTTTCAATGCAATTCAACACTCAGTCAATCACTACAACCTCTTTCTCATCTCAATATGTTTTATCATTTAATATATATTCACATAATTGTCACCCAATATAAGCGCAATTTAATTGGCTATAGTTTTATAGTTTAATCTCAAATTAATAAACTAAACTTAGTATTAATTTCGCCACTCTATATAAACAGTATATTTAAACGTCTATAAATGATGTCTTACTAGTAATTTGGTTAAGTGTTCACTAAACTCATGTATTGATTGAGTAATGTGAAAGTTATGCACAGATTACCCTGGTAAATAAATAAGGAACTATTTTAAACAGATTATAACAATTAATATGCGAGTGAATCCAGTGTTTTGGTGGCGTGTTTGACAGCCCCCTCACCCCCCATATGTGGACGTCGTATACGAGTGTCTATAAGTTCAGCAAGTGATAGACATTTGATTGAATGCATGGAGTGATGAATAATCTTTGAAATGTTTTCGTAATGAAAAGCATTGAAAAACATTTGTAAATATCATTGCAATTAATAACAAAACGTTTGAT